TGTCACAGCCTGTGGCCTTCATGGTTTCAGATGAAAAATCTGCTATAATCTGAGGTGTTGTCCTCTATAGAAAAATGCCTTCAAGTTTTTTTTCTTTATCTTTAAATTTTGCAAGTTTTAATTATAGTATTTTGGCATGAATTTCTTCAGCTTTATCCCGTTTGAGTTCTCTTAGCTTCTTCAATACGTAGGTTTATGTCTTTTGCTGTTTTGGGGAATTTTCAGTCATTATTTGTTGACACACTTTCTGAGGCACTTTCTGAGACTCTGTGAGTCTTCTCCTTTGGGACTCTGATGATACAGAATTTACCCCTTTTGGTTTAGTCTCACAAGTCCCCGAGGCCGTGTTCACTCTTTCTCAGTCTACGTTCTCTCTGTTGCTTAGAATAGATTGATTCTTGGGTATGTCCTCAAGTTTGCTAGTTCTATCCGCTGTTAGTGCTCCCCTAGATTGAGCCTATTCAGCAGGTTTCTGATTTCAGTTGCTGCATTTTTCAGTTCTATAATTTCCATTTGGTTTTTAGGAAGAACGCCTCTTTCTTGGCTGAGATTTTCTCTTTTTTCATTTGTTTTGAAAGACTTCGTAAGTGCTTGTCGAAAGGTTTTTTGTGATGGTTGTGAAACCCTCGTTGGATCATTCTAACATCTGATTCTGCTTAGTGCTGGCCTCTGGTGATTGCCTTTTCTCATTCACATTGTGATTTTCCTGTAAGGAGTGATTCTTGTACTACATTGTGGCCATTCTGGATTGCATTGTGAGACTCTGGATCTTAATCTACTCTTCGTGTTTTGGCCGGCGGTCCTCCTATTGAGGTTTATCGCAGATCTGGGTGGGCGTCTATGTTTGGTTTTCTTGCTGGGCCCCAGTGTAAGTGGGACACCAAACGCCACTGCCTCACTGCCCCTAGTGGAAGGGGTAGATCAGCAACCTGCTGGGCTCTGCCGCCAGGGCTGGGGAGACACAGGCTGATTACACAGCTTTGTTGTTTCAGCATGAGAGTGAGGCTCAGCTCCTCGCGGGGTCTCTCTTAACACCGGAAAAGAGGGGCAGCAGCAGAGTGCCAATTATGCCTCCCTCCTAGCACCTGTTCTACCAGCTGTCAGGTGGAGGCTCAAGCCCTCACTGGGCCTGGCTGATAGCAGAGGGAGCGGGAGGGCACAGGATGATGACTGCTTCTGCTCCCTTTGCCTCATTCATTTCTGCGGATGAGGCTGGGAGCGGAAGCTCAGCTCCTCCTTGGATTTTAATGACACTGAGTGTGAGCGAGCCTGGAGGCGAATAGCTTGTGTCGTGCTGCCTCGGTGCTGTGCCTTGTCAAGCCTCATCTCAGGATTGCGCACACACTGCCCGGGTTGGGAATCAGATCCTGGCCTGGCTCTGCTGGGAGGAGGATGGCAGATCACTCCCTGCTTCTTCCCACCAAAACCAGAGAGGCAGTGGTGAGTTGTTCCTCTCAGTGTTCGGCTGGCATATGGCAGGTCTGGTCCTGAAGGTTTCTAGTGGTCAGGTCAGCCTTTCCCCAGCCCTTTGGCTTGTGGGGTGGGGATGGGCTTTCCTTGGAGCTCTCGGTCATCTGGGCCTGTTGTCAGTTCCGGCTGAGAGGTGTCTGCAGTGCCCATGTGGGATTCGGGGGAGGCAACGAGGAAACCCCCGGAAGTTGTCCGAGTGTTGTTTCTCAAGGCCTGTGGTCCTGAGCATGAAGCCTCTTTCAGAGCCTTCTTGGCTGTTGTGTTCCGGGCAAGGGTAGAGGTGCAAGCAGGAGGAACCGGGGAGAAAGGCTCTCCTCACTGCTTTTTTACTTAAACGTAAGAGGCAGTGAGCAGGCAGTTGGAAAATAAGCCTGGGGTGATAAGAGGCAAAAACTGGGCCAGGTTACAACTTTTAAACGGAAATGGGCCACAGTTCTAACAAGAGAATTTGGAGAAGTTGTTACAAAGGATTTGTCTATCTGCTGTCATTGGTTGTAGGTAATTTTTTTTTTTTTTAATTTTTGACAGGCAGAGTGGACAGTGAGAGAGAGAGACAGAGAGAAAGGTCTTCCTTTGCCGTTGGTTCACCCTCCAATGGCCGCCGCGGCCGGCGCGCTGCGGCCTGCGCATCGCGCTGATCCGAAGGCAGGAGCCAGGTGCTTCTCCTGGTCTCCCATGGGGTGCAGGGCCCAAGCACCTGGGCCATCCTCCACTGCACTCCCTGGCCACAGCAGAGAGCTGGCCTGGAAGAGGGGCAACCGGGACAGAATCCAGTGCCCCGACTGGGACTAGAACCTGGTGTGCCGGCGCCACAATGCGGAGGATTAGCCTAGTGAGCCGCAGCACCAGCTGGTTGTAGGTAATTTTTACCAGTAATATTTTCTATCCACAAAAAGTCAACTTGAGAGTAGAAAGTCAGTTTTGTGATACATGTAACTAGGAACCAGTTGGACGCTCAAATCCCTGGTACGAAACTTCAAATCTTTACATGCCTGCCTACAGGTATTATTAACAGTATTTCAGGGGTCTAGGCCAGCAATAGGCAGGTACAAATGTCCAGGGTTCCTGTTGGCCTCTACTCTATAAATTGAATCATAGAAGGGCAACTTTGGACAACTTTTTTTTTGTTCTGTCTACTCTTGCTTTTGTAACCTTTTTTGGGTGTGTCTACTCTTCCTTTTTTAATGTATTCTTTCATTTAAAAATGTACTTATTTATATACACAAATAAAAATAAATATATGTATACACACATATATTACTTGTGCACATCATAATTATAAAACAACAAATTTTTTTTGGAGTGAATATATGTTGTAACTAGTTACCATATCTTACAAAAAGGACTCAGGAGCCTCAAAAGGCCTTCTCTGTCACTGCTTTCCACCCCCAGCAGACGGCCACCATCCTGAATTCCAGATTAATTTCATTGACTCTTCCTCTCTCCTTTTCCTTCCCTCCCCTCCCCTCTTCTCCATTTCCCTTTCTTTTTCCTCTCCCTTCTTTTGTTCCCTTTCTCTCTCTCTCCCTCCTCTATCTCTGTTTCTTTCTTCACGTTTATTTCTTTATTTTTATCTACACGAAAGGCAGAGTACCATAGAAAAATAGAAAGAGAAATATCTTTCACTGGCTGTTCACTTCCCAGACACCTGTAACAACCAGGTCTGGGTCAGGCTGAAGGCAGGAGCTGGGAACTCCTTCCAGGTCTCCCACAAGGGTGGCAGGAACTCAAATACATGAGCCATCATTTACTGCCTCCTGGGGTGCACATTGGCAGGAAGCTGGATCACAAGCAGAGTAGCCAACACTCAAATGAACACTCTGATAGGAATGCCGGCATCCCAAGTGGCATCCACAGTGCCCATCCCCATGGACCATGGAAAACGTTACTGAAATGATTGTAAATTCACATGTAGCTGTAGGAAATACTAAAAATTCTTTGTACTCTTTGCCCACTTTTCTCCTATGGCAATATTTTGCAGAACTATAGTACAGTATAGTATAGTATAGTATAGATTTCCATTTTTCTCATTTGTGTGATTTTAAGTTCAATGCAATTTTATAAAAGTTTGTTTGTGTACCTTCACAGCCCAAATTCCAACACCACAATTTATGTTGCCCTTTTATATCCAGACACATCTCCCTGGTGACCACACCTTGTCTTCTAGTTAAAAAATTCTGTCATTATACAATATCTAAACTTTTGCATTTTTTTCTTTTTTGCTCAACAAGGCTACTCTTTTTTTAATACAACTAGAATTTTTTGTTGTTGTTGAGAGGCAGACAGTCAGAGTGAGAGACAGACAAAGTCCCCATCTACTGGTCCACTTCCCAAAAGCACTGTGGGCACAATGGCTGGGGCCAGGGATTCCATCCAAGTCTCCACATCGGTGGTAGAGACCTAACTATTTGAGGATCAATTCTGCTTCCCAGAGTATACATTCGAAGAAAGCTGGAACTGGGAACACAGCTACAATTCAAACCCAGGTAGCCCGTTCAATACAGGATGTAGGTGTTTCGACCAGTGCCTTTTCCACTAAGCCAAACACCCACTGCTGGAATTCTTTTAAAGGATTTCCATCAGAATTTACTGCAGATCATAAAACCGTATCTGCTCTCCAATGCATAAATTTGAAAACCTCAGGGCAAATGTTAGCTCTTGAATAAAATATGCCTAGACAAAAATTCTGACGATTTCTGCTCTTTTAACGTGACTGGCAGATAGAGTTTTTGCAAGTATCATCCTGATCCTAAGGATTAGGTTTTACACTTGATCTTAGCCAAAAGGCTGAGAAGCTATCGGGGCTGGAGCCGTGGTGCAGTAGGTTAATCCTCTGCCTGCGATGCCGGCATCCCATGTGGGCGCCAGTTCTAGTCCGGGCTGCTCCTCTTCCAATCTGCTCCTCTTCCAATCCAGCTCTTTGCTATGGCCTGGGGAAGCAGTGGAGGATGGCCCAAGTCCCCGGGCCCCTGCACCCACGTGGGAGGGCAGGAAGAAGCTCCTGGCTCCTGGCTTCGGATTGGCACAGCTTTGGCCCATTGCGGCCATTTGGGGAGTGAAACAACAGAAGGAAGACCTTTCTCTCTGTCTCTCCCTCTCACTGTCTGTAACTCTGCCTCTCCAATAAAATAAATAAAAAAATTATTTAAAAAAAGCAACAGCTATGTGCCCATTAGGAAACCTGGCCTCATGATGTTCCTGAAAAATCTATCCAGATATTTAAAAAAACTAATTTGCTACACTTTTCATTCTAATAGAAGGTAAAATTCATTGACTACACAAAGATACCAAGACAGAACATATCAATTCAAAACCTCATTTGTAGAAATTCTTTTAAAAAACAACCTTTCGTCACCAACCTTCTACTGTCTGCTAGCTTCTTTCTCTACTTTTGACTGTTGTAGTCAACTGGTAAAACCCTCAAAGTCACAGAGTTAATTTTCAAGAGGCCAAATCTGTCAATGCCTGGGAGAACCAACTCAGGGAAGTCCAGCTTCCTTGTACAGAGCAGTTCCCTCACGTTCACTCACCTGTTCTCATACTGGAATTTCGCCAATATGTCTTTGGCTTTGGTTTGACTGTTAAGTTGAATGGCCATGGACACCTTCGAGAGAAGTGGAGCATGGACCCGGATGACTCCTTCTGGCACGTCAGACTGCCAAAAGGAAAAAATTCAATACATTCTGTCAAACTAGCACAAATACAGACCCAACAACAGCACTTAGAGATAGGACCATCCCTGACACTCAGAATTAGGGAAACACATGTGTGTGACCAGCTTTTACCCTAAAGGAAATACCTTTTTTAAAAAAGACTTATTTATTTATTTAAAAGGCAGAACTACAGAGGGAGAAGGAGGGAGAGACAGAGACAGAGAGAAATATCTTCCACCTGCTGGTTCACTTCCCAAATGGCTGCAATGGCTGAGGCTATGCCAGGCTGGTGCCAGGAGCCAGGAACCAGGAGCTGCTTCTGGGTCTCCCACATAGTTGCAGGGGCACAAGGACTTGGGCCATCTTATGCTGCTTTTCCAGGAATATTAATGGGGAGCCGATCAGAAGTGGGATAGCCATGAACTGGTGTCAAATGGGATGCTGGCACTGCAGGTGGAGGTTTAACCTATGCCATAGCACCAGCCCCAGAAACATCTTTTTCCTATTTATCAGGAGATTCACTAATGAGCTTAACCTGGGGCTTTACTTTCAATACATGTTTAGGCCTTTCCACAATGCTTTAAAATCAAGAGAAGGGAAAAGTGGACCATGGCAGAAACAGGATGCTTCTATTACTGCAGTGTCCTAAAGAAGCCTACTTTAAGCAGAATTCTGAACTTCAATATACCTGAGAAGACACTTTCTGAACATTTCAAGGATTAACTAGAGATCATGACTTCTCCAAACAGAGAGAGACAGATACCACATGTTTTCTTTCATATGTGGAAGTTAATATGTACTTTAGAAAAACAAGTGTGAATGCCTACTATTTGGTATTTTGATATTCATGAATGTTGTCCTCACTGAATTATACCCCTTAGGCTTACATATTAATACCCCTGTTTCCATATTTTACGATCTTTGTCATGAATCCCCACATTATGGGATGTTAATATATCCACCATTGCTTTTAAAAATAGTATGAAAGTATGTATATTAAAATGAAACTGGCAAAATGTTGAAAATTGTTAAATCTATATATCCTCATTGAATTCTTTATACTTTTCTGTATTGTTTGAAATACTTTGAAATAAAAGACAAAAGAGAGAATATGCTTCTCAAATCCCCTCTCTTTTTTTAGTTAGCCCAAATCGAATTCCACAGGTGCACTTGAAACTTGATCCCAGGAAGTGTGTGGCAGCACTGTGCAGACCATTCTGCCTTGCTATTGGAGAAGAAGGTGTCTCTGCTCTCCTAAAATGTGACTGGAGCCCTGGTCTAAATGGAATGGTCAAAGAATGGTGCTTTCTGGTAAAGTTTGTTTCAAACTTTGAATTTTTAATAAATTAATTCTCTATCTATAAGATGAAAAGAAATAAATTTCTATTTGTTTAAGGACATGGCCACTGTCAGGTAATCATTTAAAATAAGTGCTTTCTCAAAGGATGGTGTTGTTAATATAGAGGTATATATGAACTGGATCAATAACACTTCACAGAATGAATATGTTATGGGTTGAATTCTGTTCACTCAAAAGATATATTGATTTCCTAATCTCTGAATCTCAGAATGTAACCTTATTTGGAAATAGGATTATTGAAAGATAATTAATCAACATGAGGTCAAACTAGAAGAGAGTGGGCCCTTAGCACGGTATGACTGGTGTCCTTATAAGAGGAGAAGAGTCACAGGGACACACAGTGAATGTGTTGCGGGGGGCAGGGGCTAGAGGCAGAGACTGGGTGACTCATTGGCAAGCTAAGAAATGCTAAGGATTGTTGGCCTCACCAAAAGCTAGCAGATATGCAAGGAACAAACAGACTCTTCCTTCAGAGCCCTCAAAAGAATCAATCCTGTTAACACCTTGATTTTGAATGTTGAGTCTATAAAACTGTAATCAACATGTACTGTTTTAAGCCATGCTGTTTGCAGTGCCCTATTATGGAAGCCCTAGGAAATGAATACAAGATATTTTTAAATAAGTTCCATTCTTAAGAGTACTCTCCTAATATGACCAGCCGGAACCGTGATAGTATGTCAGGGTTAGATGTTGAGGGAACTGCACTGGGAGGGGGTCAGTGTCCCTTGCTCCTTGCAGCCAAGATTGTACACCTAAGAGACTCCTTTGATCATCTCCGTCTCTCCCCTTCTAGCTCCCCAGAAGCCTGAGTAAGACAAATTCCACATGCAGAGTGCAGGATCATCATAATCACATTTCCCTTGTGACTTCCGGTAACATTCTTTACTGTGTAGAGGGTGCCTGACCACACACTGCAAAGCATCCGTTTGTTGGGTCCCTGTTCTTTTAGGTGTCACCCTGAAAAGGTGAAGCTGTAGGACAGATCAGGAACAAAATCATGTTATGTAAACAGGAAGGCTGCAGCCAGAGTGTATTAGCCAGGGAGTTGGTAGGGGCACACAGAGATGACTTATTTTCTTACCAATCTTCTTGAAGAGGGTGATTTTTGTAGTACCTTTGAAGTCTTGGGGCTTGTAATCTAAAAAGAAGCAAAAACAAAAAACACATTTAGGCTTTAGGATTAATGCTGGGAAGACATGCATTTGCTATTATGGGAAGTGTAAATTGGTACAGTCTTTATAGGAAATATATTGGCAATATTTATCATATTAAAATATGCATATGCACCTTGACCCAACAAGTCTACGTCCATAAATTTATACTAAATTATACCTCATTTGTGAAAAATGATTGTATACTTCTCATTCACTGAAGCAGATAGGACACAATCTAACTGTTCAATAATATGGATTGTTTCCATGAATTACTGTTTGTCTATGGAATACCATGGAAAAGAAGCAAAGAAGCAGGCTTTGTTGACTCATATGGAATAATCATCATTATTTATTTTTAGTTTTCTAATTACTTTATTTGGAAGGCAAAGAAACACAGAGAGAGGGAAACAGAGATCTTCCATCGGGGTTTATTCTCCAGATGGCTGCAACAGCCGGGGCGGGGTCAGGCCTAAGCTGGGCGTGCAGAACTCAATCTGGGTCTCCCACAGTGCAAGTACTTGAACATCTCCTGCGTGTGTGTTAGCATGAAGCTGGAATCGAGAGTGGGGCTGACCTGATCCAGGAATTTGTAATTTGGTCATGAATCGTCTATTCCAATCAAAGTTATGAATGAAAAATCCGGCAGAGTACAAGTGCACTGAAGAAAAACTCTTTCTTCATCTTTAAGTAGTCTCTTCCATGGTACTGACAGTCTTTAAATTCTATCTTGGTTTTATTTACAATGAAAACACTAAAATAATTTACATCCACTAAAATCATTTACTAAAATCATTTAATTTAGGAATGCACCACTTGCAAGTGCATTACACACATGATATGAGTTGACATTAATGACAGCCCTGCGAAACAGAGATAGCTTTACTTTCCCCTCCCCAATTTATAAGATAAGAACATTGAGGTTCAAAGAGACGATTGAATTTGCCCAGGCTAATATGGTTAGTGATTTATAACCAAAGCTTTAGCTCTGCACACATCATCCTTATGCCATTAACGTGTTCCAGTGTGAAAATGCCAGAGCAAAAAGCTCCAGAAAACTGTCTGTCCACAGAAGTTATGGATTAACTGGCCCAAACGGACATAATTGACCTTTACAGAGCTCTGCATATTAACCCAGTGGTTACAACCCAGGGAGTGCTAAAGCAAGAAAAACAGTGAATCTGGTTAAGAACAGTGAGCTCTTTCCCATCCCTGCTCCCTGGCTTACAGATAACTTTGAAGATAACATCCTAATGTTAGCCAGAGGAGACAGGATGGGCCCCGCTTACACACAATTCTACCTCTATGTTGTAACCTGTCTGGGGCTTCCTGGAAGCCTGGCTCCAAAGGTTTGCCTTAATCTGCTCTCGCTTGGAACTTGATGGGTGCTAAAGGGAGGTAATGTTGAAGACATTTATAGGCAGATGTTTCAGCCTAAGCTGCCCGAGGTATCGAGGTATCGGATAAGAGCTGGGGAAAACAAAAGCTGACTAAGAAGCTTAGGAAGCAAGGCTGGAGACTAGGAAGTGTTGGGGGAATTAGGGCTTTGAAGAGTTCCGACACATCCCTGGGAATCTGGAAGGTCCCTTTAATGCCCCAGGCTGTGAGCAGGACCGGAAAAGCACAGGAGCTCTCACCTCTGGCGGACCTCCAGGCTCTGTGCAAGTCCGAAGCAAAGGCCACAGAGACTTACAAACTGCTTGGCTAAGGGTGAAGGTGGAGAAAGGCGGGAGTATGGGTGGGAGGGCGGCGGGGGAGGGGGAGAAGCATCATGTTCCCAAATCTGCATCTATCAAATGCATGAAGTTGTGCTCCTTAAACAAACAAACAAACAAACAAACAAAAAACAGGTGAAGCTGGCCCCAAATATACACAGATCTCTGCAAAGACTGGAAGTTTTTTGTTGTTGTTGTTTCAGGCATTTAAGAAATCTCGATCTAATCATTGGTTAACAATTAAGGTAATGGAACAGCAGCCACACACAGCAAACAATACAGATTTTGCAAAATTAGTTGAGCAGAGAAGTCACTAAACAAATAGCAACATCAGATTCTGGGGGAAGGGAAAGAATTTCATTTCCAAGGTAGCCACGGTCTTGAGATTAACAATGTCCAGTCTTCAACAAATAGTTATGAGGCAGGCAAAAAAAAAAGTCAAGAAAATAGGGCCCATACACACTGAACCTACTTAAAAAAACAGGAGTTCTGATAGTTTCAAAAGAAACTGTCCTTGAGGAAGCCCAGACATTTGATTTACCATAAAAAGCCTTCAAATACTTTTAAATATTCAAAGAATAATGGAAACCACGTCTACTGGTGATGGCTATACAATATGTGAGCATACGAAAACCCACTGGACTAAGCATTTTTTTGGGAGAGCCAGAGATACACACACACACACACACACACACACACACAGAGCAACAGCGAGAGTGACAGTGAGAGCGAGAAAGACAGAGACAGAGAGAAAGCTCCCGTCCACGGGTTCTCTCTCCAGATGCCCACAACAGCTGGTGCTGGGCCAAAGCCAGGAGCCAGGAGCTCAATGTGGGTCAACCACGTGGGAGGCAGTGCCTGCTGCCCCCTAGGGTGCGCATTAGTAGGATGCTGGAGTTGGAGCTGTGACTCAAACTCAGGCCCTCCAGTCCGGGATGTGGGCATCCCAAGTGACATCTTGAGCAAGCACTGTGCCAAATGCCTGCTGCATGTGCTATGCATTTTTAAATGGCTAAAATGGTGAATTTTAAGTTATATTAATTTTTCTCAACCAAAACAAAGTTTTAAAAATCCTCTCCTAACTGACATGAGGTCACCTTGCATTCATCATGGGGCAACACTTCCTCTCACCCCCCCCCACCCCCCGGCCTGGGCATTTACTATCCCTCTTCCTTGGATGTGCTTCCCTGTCCTTTCTCCCCTCAACACGCGCTCCATCCTTTAAGATGTAGCTCCAGTGCCACCTCCTCCAGGGAGCCATCCATCATTTCCCCTGCTGGAGCAGATTCCTTTTCTGCAGGCCCCTCCCACGGTCAGCACAGCCAGTTTTGCTGGGTTTTGATGCTCTCATGTATGTTGTCTCCCATAAGTTCCTTTAAAGGCAAGGTGAATTTCAACACTCTCTGCATCCCCCTGTAGCCCGGCACTCATGGTCATCCTCAGGCTAAAGCAACAGATAATTCTTCTATGACTGGTTTCCGTCATGTACGTCTACAGAAAGCACGAGGGGAAGCAAAAATTCTTTGGAATGCGATTAATTTGTGCACAACAATTTGAGGATTGGATATTCTCTCATTATCCAATTCCTACAGAAATCTCTTTCCCTACTTATCAGATATATACTGGATCCCCTGAAATCTTCACAGAGAATAAAATGTGGACTTTCAGCTTCTGTGAGAGCCATTGTCTGGTAAGCACTTAACAAAAAATTAAACAAACTTAATGATACAGAGATTTCGAGAACTTCAACCAAAAGGCACCTAATTCAACAAAAGGAAAAGACCATGGTATTCTGTTTATGGCCGTATTTTCCAAAAGGTCCAAAGTTACAAGACTGCCTAACACGTTGTTAGAATATAAAATTTTGGGGTCCAAATTACCAGCTACTTTGTGCCTCCACTTTTTAAAAATGTTTTGGGCTTTTTAAAATTATTATTTGAAAGGCAGAGTGACAAAGAGAGAGAGTAGCAGAGAGAGAGAGAGAGAGAGAGAGATATCTTCCATCAGTGGATTTATTTCCCAAATGGTCACAACAGCCAGGGCTGGGCCAGGCCACAGCCAGGTGCCAGAACTCTATCTGGCTCTCCCACGTGGGTGCAAGAGCCCAAGCACTTGGCCATCTTCCCCTGCTTTACCAGGAGCTTTGGCAGGGAGCTGGATTGGAAACGGAGCAGCCAAGATTCGAATCTCTATTTGGGATGCTCTACGGGAGCTGTGCTCTATGTGGGATGCTGGTGTGGCAGGCGGCGACTTATCCTGCTGGGACACAGCGGCCGGCCCTCGTGCCCACCCTGTGCCCCACTCGTGCCCCCCTCCTCGTGCCCCAGTGGCTCTCGTTACCTCTCGCTCTATGGTCTTCCTCCGCAGAAGCTTCTTCACGCTCGGGAGCTGCTTCTTTAACAACATCGTGGCCTCGTTCATTCTCCTTACTTGGCTGATTAAAAAAGACGGCACCTGGAGAAGAACAAGACCTTGACTGGAGAGAAAATACTGGGGTTGTGCCTCCCGCGCCAATTCTGCTTCAGTTATGGCAACGCCTCCCAGCTCCCCAGTACCCCGGAACCAGTAACTGTGGTGCTTGTACAGTTTTTCTAAAGACATTTCTTTTATTTATTTATTTATGTGAAAGAGTTACAGAGTGAGGAGAGAGAGACACACACACACACACAGAGATAGTCCATCTGATGGTTCACTCCCCAAAGGGACACAATGGCTGGGGCTGGGCCAGGCCAAAGCTGGGAGTCTGGAGCTTCTCCTGGCTCTTCCACATGGATGCAGGGGCCCAAGGATTTGGGTCATCTTCTGCCGATTTCTAAGGAAGCTGGATTGGAAGTGGAGCGACCAGGACTTGAACCTGTGCCCATATGGGATGCTGGCACTGCACACAGAGGTTTAACCTGCTGTACCACAGTGCTGGCCTGTTCTTATACAATGTAAGAAAGACTATCAAGATTACTGTTTCTTGGGGAAAACACGTTAAAGAGGAGCTCTTAAGGAATGCACACACATCCCACGGTATTTGTAGGAGGTTGGTTCTAGAACTCCTGCAGAAAACAAAATCCACAGATTCCCAAGTCCCTTAAAAATGGCATAACCTTTGCATAGAACCTATACACATCCGCCTGTAGACTTGAAATCATCTCTAGATTCCTTATAACACCTAACATAAAGCAATTCCTATGTAGATGGCTGTAATACCATATTGTTTAGGGGCTAAAGATAAGAAAAAATCCATACCTGCTCAGTATAGACTTTTTTTTTTTTTTTTTTTTTTTTAAGTATTTTAGCTCTGAGGTTGGTTGAATGTGTGGCTGTAGAAGACCAAGCGTGTGAGGCCGCCACACATGCCCTGGGGCTCCTTCTTGACATTCTCAGCTTACGACTCAGGGAACTGCTCAACCCCAGAGCCTGCTGCTTGCAGCCTTCCCAGAAGAATGACAGTGAGCACGCTGCCACTCACCTTCCACAGGATCTTCTGGTACTTGAGCATGAGGCGGATGATGTGGGCTGCAGTGTTTGCCAACAGCAGCTCTTCGTAGTCAGAATGTTTGCTTCTGCTGAAGAAGAGGTTGGGCGCCATGATAGTCGAAATGTTCCATATGCTCATTCGGTTTTTGGATTCATTGGCGATCACTTTGTTGAAGAACGTCAGGAGGGCCTACGGAGAAAAGGACCGCGTCACACTATTGTACCCCATCGAAAGGCACGCTGGTGGCGCCCGTTCAGGTCTGCACCCGTTCACGGGACTGCAGGAAACTGGTCAGAAGCACAATGGAGGAACGTGTCCTGCTTCCCCTGTAACCGCGCTAAGAAGACGCGTCACCACCTGGCTGAACCGCCCACAGCAGCAGCTCCGTTTGATGGAGCTTATTTCGGTGGAGTCTCTAAGAGTTTGCACTTTCTCCTTTTATCCTAAACAAGTCTGACAGATATTAAAATTAAATATAAACCAGGAAAACGTGGCGGCTCAAATAAACATGAAATACGGTTTTGGTGTGAAGGAAGCAAAGCAAGTCTAAAAAAAATACTTAAAACATCGCTGTTGCAAACTATTTAACATTTCCTGGGGACAGGAACATCCATCTAAATAACATTAGTATCTCATCAGCCCAAAAGTAAATTCCACTGACAAATTTTAAAAACATTTACTATTGTGATAGTCATTTAGTGCAGCAGTAAAATAACCCTTTGGCATGCCCAAATCTCACATCAGAGTGCCTGGTTCACTCTCCTGGCTTCCTGCTAATACACACTTTTTTGAGTGTCATATATATGTAATTACATATTCACTAATCATCATTCCATGCTCTTTAGGGTTGAGTGCTATTGTGAATATTATTCCACTGAAGAGGAAACAGATGGATAGGGATGGAATATCTTCCCCCAGCATCAGTGGAAAGCCAGGAGAGAGAGAAGCAGGCAGAGGGAAAGAGCTCCCATTCACTAGTTCACTCTCCAAATGCCTGCCACAGCCAAGGCTGGGTTATGCTGAAGCTGGGAACTAGGAATTTCTTCCAGGTCTCCCATGTGAGTGGCAAGAACTCACCTACTTGAGCCATCACCACTGCCTCCCAGGGTCTGCACCAGCAGGCAGCTGGAGGCAGGAACAGGAGGTGAGAGTTAAACTCAAATACGCAATGTGGGATGTGAGCCTGCTGGTCAGCAGTTTAAGGACTAGGCCAAATGTCCTACATTCCTTTAACTTCTGATAAAAGGGCATCATGTAAACAAAGCCAAAAACCAAGCTAATAAGTTTGCAGTTTTTGAAAAACTTACTGACATTAGAAACAGACATTTTTATGTGCTAGCTAATCCCCACCCTTGCATAAATGATGTGATATAATTGGCATGCATGATAGCTGACACAGGTGCTTCTGCTCTGTACACAGGGAAAGGGCCTCCCCACACTGAAATGTCTGATTACAAACAACACTGAGGGCCTTATTTGCTTTCAGCTTTATGTTTCCTGAGCTCTTTGCAACACATCCCTACCTCAACTTCATTCCAAACACCTGTCATACTAACAACATCCTACAATACTTGGAATCATCATCAAAATACAAGAGAGACCAGTTTTTTTTTTTAATCAATATACAGCAAAGCAATGAAGTTAAAATAAAGAGAGGGATATTTGGTATGAGGAATTAAAAAATACGAATCTATCAAGTGTTCTAGAATATGTTCATAGAGAGATCACTTCCTGAGCTTCACTTTTCCTAATCTGACAAATGACCAGATTCAATTAGGTGATTTCCAAAAATTCTGAAGTTACGGGATTAAACTGAATTATCCTCATACAAATGGCAAAACATGAACATTTTAGAAATCTCATTTCGATTTGTGATTTCACATTTCCTTCCCAAGAATCCTCATCAGATTTTCTTGCCACAAAACTAAAGCAAGCAGCTGAGAATCAACAGTTACAAAGTCTCTTATGAGTGTACTGCAAAACGTACATGGAAAAATGAAATTACATGAAAAATTATGGTGCAAAAAAATTTGCAATCCATGCACTGCTTTTTATAACATGCATTTTTCATGCACTTTTTGAAGACCCCCCCCCATATATATTTTCTTAAGTTACATAATGGTCTCATTTCCTTCTGGCACTGTTCTATTGAAGCCCCCTGTCCCTTCTACTCCTAACACCCAGCTCCAGGCCTGGCGTGTGGCAGACTCTCAACAGGTCCCAGATGAACTGAATGAGCGCGAGGCGATTGTTCAGGAAGAAGCAAGGATTGCTGCTTTCTGTCATGCTCAGGAGAACTGTCAGCGGAAGCCTGGGAAGGCAGCGGGTTGGCAGCATGCTCAGATGGCACGGCGAGCTGTCACCCCTGTGCTTATTTTTTTCTAGATGAGTCATCTCCTCGGAGCGTCAAGAGCCCGGTGACAGGCCATGAGGTCGGACAGGACGTACCTGGGCTGTATCCCTGTTAGCGTCAGGCAGTGCCATGACCATGAGGTGCAAGGCTTGAAGCTGCACTTTGATGTGAAGCCCTCCTAACAAGAAAACAGAAATAAACACACACTTAGACCACACTGGCATATTCCTCCAGCAGTTCTGACTGACATCTGTGGCACAGGAGGGCCCCTGACAGCTTGCAGAGCCAAGGCTTGTGCCCAGCAACTTCTACCTGTCCACTTTGACAGCAGCCTCGGTCTATCAATAACCCGTTCCCATCTCAATGCAGGCCACAAAACAACATAATCCTGTACCTGCAGAACATGTCTCCCTTCCGAGGACTTTCACAGGCACTGCCTTCCTTTCCGTCTATAAGCAGAGGGTTTGAAGCTCAGTTCAAGAGAAAATGAAATTTGCTTTCACATAATGAGGGAGCAAAGTTCAATATCAGGAGCTCAGATTCCAGAGCCAGATTCAAATCCTGCATCGACCATGGAATAATTCTGTGCACTGGGCAGGTTAGTTAATGCCCTCCTTGTGTCTAGGTTACCATCAGTTAAAATGGGCCTCGTCCTTGCAACTGACCTTCCAGGGCTGTCATCCTGAAATTAGCCCCTCTACAGAGTTGCCCTTATAGAAATTTTATCTTATCTTTATGATCCATGACACTTAACTGTAGGTCAAAAATGGACTTTTGGGAAGGTGGTATTTTACTCCTTATTGACACAAGAGGGCACCAGAGGGCTGGCAGCTGCACTCAGGAATTCCAAACTCAAATGCATGATCTGCAGCCAGCCCCGCTGAAAAATTAGAGTACACCAGACTATCCAGGTTTTTCTTTGTCTCTCTGTATTCTCCTCAAAGTGGCCTGTTGGTAGGCCGTTCCTGGAGGAAAGCGTTAAATTGTGGAATCCCTGGGGAGGGGAAGCTCTTCACATTCCGAGGTGGTTCACGGCCTGCACAGTATTGGAAATGCTCTTGTGAAAAGCTACTCGGTGACCGGAGGTTGTGGGTGCCAGAGTTAAGGAGTGGATGACAAGTGTACACAACCAAGCAATAAAGGAACAGCGAGAGAGGCGGGTTTATGGGATCAGAGCGGAATGTCTCAGCACGATCCACACGTGGGTTTTCGATATTTCTGTCAAACAAAAAATGACCCAGGCCCAGGATGTTATTGGAAATGGTTGATGCACACTGTGTGAACGTGGTTGCTTAACAGAAATAATCAAAAGCGTGTCTCGTACAAAGTATATAGGGGCAGGTGAGATATAATGTAAGGCATAAACTGCAAGGTGAGGGTTGTCGCTAGTCTTCTAATGCAATCCTCAGAGGGCAGGGAAGGAAAAAGATGCAGATGTAGGCTGGGGCCTCTCTATTTCTATCATTTTGAAAGAAATCATGATTACCTAATTGCAAGTCTAATTTGGAGGCGAATATTGGATAGAGTGGTTAAGCTGCCGCCTATAATGGAGTGTCTGGTTCAATTCCTTCCAGCTTCCTGCTAATGTACATCCTGGGAGACAACAGATGATGGGTCAAGTACTTGAGTCTCTGCCACCTATATGGGTGACCTGGATTGAATTCTAGGGTCTGGGCTCTGGTCAGGAGCTGTCGTGGGCATCTGGGGGATGCACCAGTGGATGGGAGCCCTCTCTTTCCTCCTTCCTTCCTTCCCTCCTTCTTTCCTTCCTTCCTTCCTTCCTTCCTTCCTTCCTTCCTTCCTTCCTCTCTCTCTCTCTCTCTCTCTCTCACCTCCCACCATTCAAATAAAATGAAAAAAAAAAAAAAACCCATACAATTCTAATTTGGAAAACCATCATTTTCGTTTTTCTCAGGAAATTTGGCCCTACATTTTGTTTCATGGTTAATAGTTTTATAATTAATTCATTTGATTCAACCTAGTCAAGAATTTCTTTGTACCTGAGGTCATTATTCTCCCATAGTGCTTTTCATGTAAGTCTAAGGCTTGACTGATGAACCATCATCCTGCAATGTGATGGACAATCTTTGGGCCAAGCTTGAAAGGAGAAAGTAATTAGACTAGTGGAGAAGATTCTGTGTTCTCTGCCCTCTGTCTCAGACAACAAGAGGTGGCAGCTGAAACCCATCCATGCACATGTTCAAAATTCTCCCCTTCAGAAAATCTTGTTACAACTAGAGCTCCCTTTAGGTGGCAAAAAGGCCATTATTTCCTGCTGGTCGGAGGCCAGAACTCTGGGCTTCCTGCAGGGTTGGCTGGTATCAAATCAATCATCTGCAATACAGTATTTTTCACTTTCAAAGTCATACAAAGAAATGTGGACTCCTTGGTGAACACTTTTGGGATAGTTTTCAGGTTCTCTGTCTTCCCCGAAGTGCGCTGGCTGCAGTCAGACAGGGGGCACTGATGGTATGGAAAGTTCATTTGTCGTACGCTCTTCTTAAATACAAGTTTCTTAACAGGTCTGGCACTGGAGGTTTGAATTCTCCTTGCGTAATTCACAAAAGTAAGAAAACAAAAGAATCTTGGTGGCACTGGTTTGTCTTGATGAACTGTTCAGCACACAAACTATAGAGCAAGGGGAACGCATCATTCTGCAGCCCATTTTTCAAGAGAACTAACGCCACAGAAAATCCTTTGCTTTCATTTTGCTCTGCTTTACTTAAAACTGGAGGAAGGTGATTCTGCTTCTGCTGTGGCTGAGTCAGTGCCTACTGGATCGACGGTCTTGAAGGTAACAATAACCTCTGGACAAAGCACACAGTCCAGCTGCCCGGGGAGGAGGAGAGGCAGTAAAGGTCGGCAGGGGCAGGAGCAGATTGGGCACCTGGAGCTAGGGCTCTTCGGGCTTTCAGTCTGAGGTCAGCCACCGTCAGGGCAGCACAGGGTGGTCAACCTTCAAAAAGAAAACCCCAGACTTTCCGGATTGAACAACCAGAAGACAGGGTTCAAGCAACCACAGCCACCAGGAAATTATGCAGGAATCTTGGAAAAAAAAAAAAGAAACCCCAAGAGATCCAGAGAAGGAAAGTCCTAATTCTGGAATAAACTCCACCCAAATCTATGAACCATACACGTGTGAGTTAGCAAAAGGAAGGATTTAATAACCACTGACAGTTTGAGTCCAGACAAGCAGAACTCCTGCTTAAAACAGCAACATCAATCAAAGAAATCAGATAACACTCTTGGGAGAAATATTATAGACTGGAGAGTCCTCCAACACAACATTAACAATAGACATTAAACTTAGTTGATACACAAAGCTCCATTCTGCCAGTAAAGACAGAAACCAAACCTGACATGACCTATCCAGTAGAATAGCAGACAGGGATTTTGATGTAGCCATCCCAACTACACTCAATGATGTAAAGGAAAATATGCTTATAATGAATAAAAATATATAGAATCTCAGGATACACACAGAAAATATGTTTAAATGCACCAGCTGGGAATTCTAGAACTGCCAAAAATGCATAACATGAGCAAAGAATGATAGGAACTGTCTCTCCTCCGTCTCTCAGCAAGTTCCTTTCATGAAGCAAAAACGTCAGAGCTTACACCACAAAGAGATTCTGGTGGCAGGCAACACGTGATTTAAAGATGAGAAAAAGACTGGCTTGCCTACCAAAGTCTATTCTTTGAGACAAAAAAGAGTATTTTATGAATCTGGTTTAGCTAAAACTTTTTAAAGACTAGGAACTTACATTTAGGGCACATGTTGTCAGAGCACTCAGGGTTTATTGCTGTCTTTCATTTTGGCTGTAATGACTGTAGAGGTCTGGCCAAACCACACTGTCAACTGGCAGGTGCAGACGTACTTGTCAGTCTCCCATGGCATTTTAAAATCTGAATTTGTGGCCGACGGTTTTGAATTAAGACTTCCCTGTACTCAAGCCTGCGCCTGGCTCTTGGTTCTGCAGGGCGATCAATACTGAGAGCTGAGCAGGGGCTGACCTCTTTATACATATATGGTACTTTGTGCCCTCTTTAGGGCACGCCCTCTCAGTGTGGCCACAGCTCTTCCCTGTCCACATAGTCCCACCGGTTATTTAACATGTCTGCACATATTTGGGCTTGTGACCCTTGAACTCCCCAGGCTAGCGGTCAACGCCCTGACTATCTAGTCCTGTCGTCACATCCTTGACAACAGTCAACCTTGATGCTCAAACCACACCAAGCTTTTCCCCACCTGTCAAATACCACACACTTTCCAGTTTCTATGCTTTCACCTGAATACCTCGCTTTAGGTCCGGTCTATGTGACTGTCATTTCAGAAACAGCACTACGTGATATTGTAAGTTTCAGGCACAAAATATCTTCTATGCAATATTTATTGTGGGTTGTATCATGTGGCTGGGGACTTCCCAGTTAAGGAGAAGGATCTCCTAGTTTTGACTGACTGTTACACACCAGGCATAGATCTAGATGACTTCATTCAACACCCACAACAACCCTGACAAGTAACTATTACCTGTGATTTACAGGTGCAGCAGCTCAATCTCAGAAAGTGTGACAGTGTGACTAACAGACGGCTGGCTGCACAGGTATTTGAATCTCGAGAGCCTGGTCGGCTTCTGGACCCCTCTGTACTGTGATGTTATACAACCTTCTAACTCACATCTACCAGGCTTAAATACATAGTAAGGATGTGAACAGGTGACTGTTCATCAGCAAACTCAATATTTCAGCCAAGCATTTACTGGAAGTAGCAGATCTAATCACATTTGATTATGCATCTCTCCTCTGTTGCTTTATTGATGGGCATCTTAGTTCTTTCACATTTAACGTCAACCACCTACTTTCCATGAGAGCGATGAAGGCAGGTATATATTCCACAGGGAAGAGAGAGGTGGGCAGTTCTCTGAAAAATGCTTTCAACATCACAGCAGCTTCTCGATGGCACATTTTGTCCCATTTAAATTTATCTGCATTAAACTTGGCATCCAATTCTTCGCGGTATTGCTGCAAGTGAAGGAAAACAGCCAACACGCAATGAGTGTTTGCCACCTGGCATTCTTTTCTCCCCTCTGACAACTATTGCTGCACAAACTATTGCTGTGGACGGATTAATAAGGCAGTATTTACTAAGTGTAACTTTTTTAATGTGATTAAGGCAACTGAAATTGCTATGAATGAACACAAAAGTGGTTTTCTAAAATCTCTTTTTAAATGTTAATCTGAAAATAATTTGCTAATTTGACACAAATAGAAAGGCTGTCTTTTAGATCTGAGCTTCCTTTCTGTGGTTTTGGTGGAATACCACTATTGCTGCATGATGAAGGCACTGTTAGGTTTTGACAAAGCCTCCCTCTCCCCTTTTCCCCATAATCCCTTCTGCCATCCTCTCTTCTATTTATAAAATAGATTAAGAATGTGTATCTCTTAGCTAGTTCACATACAGAATGAAAAACAGCCCAATAAAGTAACTCCACCCTCCCTGCAACGTGCAGACCGATGACATATTCATGGCACGGATACAGCACAGTTGGATGCCAAGACACACACGTGGCTTCCAAATGTCTGCACGCTTGTCCAACCATTCCTGAGGTTGGATCACTCTGCAGATACTTTTTAAACAATCACCAAGCCTCCTTACAGTTCTACTCGGCTTATGAAATCTACATTGTTAATTCATCTGACTATCAGCACCACCCCATTCTCCATGTTTCTTTTTCCAAGTCAAACTCACTTTCCCTGCCCCCGTGGATTTCAAGGTTTACTCATGCCAGCTGAGCAACCCTAATCTGAACGTCCAAAATCCAAAAGGCTCCAAAATGCAAAACGTTTTGACTGCCAACATGACACGACAAGTGGAAAGTTTCGCATCTGACTTTAGATGATGGGTGGCAGTCAACACACAGGTGCACTAATGTTTATGAAATCACCTTCAGGTTATAAGGTACATCAGAAAGATAACAGATTTGGGTCCCACCCTCAAGGTATCTCATATACACAAATAATCCAAACCCAAACAAATAAAATCGGAAATGATGTGGGTCCTGAGTAATTTGGGCTACTCAGTCTGTAACACCAGGTAGTGATAGGCAGTTCCTGACACCAACTGCTCCATCGGGGCACTCGGAAATGTGCCTCTGCTTTATGCTCCTGAGAAGCCCAACTTCTCTAGTCTTGAACATGCAAAGCTGAAGTCAGTTCGCACATCTGACACTCTCTACCAAGGATCAGCTATTAACCAGCCAGACATAAATGCAGTCAGTTCCCAGAGCATGCAAAACAGAGATCCCTGGCGGGACAATTTCCTTAGAGATACACAAGATTTTGATCTAGACTCTACAGAGGTTGTTCCTGCTCCGGAGAAGCTCTCGACCTAGCAGGGATACAACAGCTAGTCAAGGCATCCCCTGCGGATAAACATGCTTGCCATAGCCGTAAGCAAGGCTACACAGTGTTTCCTGGAATAAGACAGAGCACCAGACGTTAGGCATCGTGGAGTCTAGTGGAGGAGGCTAGCTCATGCACTGCTAATGCTAAGTGGGAGTGTAAAGAAAGATCACACGGTAAGGAAGACCATCTTCTGGTGCTGTGCAGTCAGGGAAAGGGGCATCAAGCTGTGCCAGGGCCAAGTCTTATGGCTGCTGAGGAGTTTGCCAGGCTAAGAGGGCACAGAGGAGGGGCCCGGAGAAAAGAAACTGCTCACACAGTTACAGCAGTGCGTGCAGGTCCTGGGTGTCTGGGGAACCAGTCAGTTCAGTGCTGCTGAGCCACTGCGAACAAGGAATGAGACTGCAGAGCAGGCAAGAGCCCGTCCTAAAGGGACTGGCCTGCGTTCTGTAGGCAATGCGGCAATTTGGGACAGCTCTGAGCAAGGGAATGAGGACGTCAGATTAATATTTTCTTTTCTTTTCTTTTTCTTTTTTTACGATTTATTTATTTTGAAAGTCAGAGTTACAAAGACAGAGAGGGAAAGGCAGAGAGAGAGGTCTTCTATCTGCTGATTCACTCTCCCAGTTGGCCGCAATGGCAGGAGCTGCGCAGATCCGAAGCCAGGAGCCAGGAGTTTCCTCCAGGTCTCCGACGTGGGCGCAGGGACCCAAGGACTTGGGCCATCTTCTACTGCTTTCCCAGGCCATAGCAGAGAGTTCAATCAGAAATAGAGCAACTGGGACTCAAATCAGCACCCATATGGGATGCTGGCACTGCAGGCAGCGGCTTTACCCGCTACGCCACAGCACCGGCCCTAGATTAATGTTTTCTGAAAACCACATGGAAAACTGCTTTGGGGAAGTGTGGGGCTTGACATCAGTTGGGAGCAGGCAAGAAGCAAGGCACCTAGTTATGGGATTCTGGCACCACTTCTGGGGTTGGATAGTCAAGGAATGACCCAGACTTGCAGGCTTAGGATAGAAAGAAGAAGGAGCAGGTGAGAAATGCTTAGGAAGGCAAATGCTGAAGGAAAAGCTATGAGTTCAATATGAGGCTCCCTATAAGTGTATTGTCCAAGATAACTCCAACTCTAATGGGCATATGAAGGTGTCGTTAACAGGAAGTGCCCCACTGGGCACCACTGCCATAAGCAGAGGGGAAATCATTTTCAAGAGGGCAGGAAGAGCTAACGGGAACATAAATGGACACCACTGCCATTGGAATCTATCTGAAGCAGGGATATGAGCACCCTTCTGACCTGTGAGGGGTCCTGGTATGCTACAGGGCAGTGTGGCACCAAGGGCAGGTGCCTTAACTACATCCTTCAGGTTTTTATCCCAACTCCACAACTGACCAGTTGCATAGCTTGTGACTCCAGCTTCGCATGGCATAACACGGATATTGAAACCACCTTCTTGGGGCTGTGTTTGGCCTACTGGTTAAGATGCCAGGTTCGATGCCTGTGTCCCACACTGCAGTGCCTGGGTTTGATGTTTATCTCCTGGTCCTGACTCCACCCTCCTGCTTATGCAGACCCTGGGAGGCAGAGATGCGAGTTCCAGTAACCGGGTCCCTTGCCAGCCATGTGAGACCCCCAGATTGAGTTTCCAGCTCCAGCCTCAGCTGTTACGGGCATGTGGGGGTGAACTAGCAGACAGAAGTGCTCTCTCTCTTTCTCCATTTTTCTCTTTGGATATTGATACCCCTGCCTCTCAAATAAATAAATTCTTATAAAAATGACTTTGAGATTAAATCAGACAATATTCAAGTTCACAGAGTGTCACACAGAAGACACTAAATAATGCCAGCTGCTCTATCCTCAATTCCCACTCCACCCCCACCCCAGGTCTAGTCTAAGCTTTAGTGTCATCTCTACGGGAAGTGCCTGTGTATGAGATTCGAATGCAAGTATTCGGGTAAAACACCATGTCATCTTGGTTGTATGGCTGTCATGAAACAACAGACACGGAATGTCACTTCTGGTTGGTTCCAACAGCAGCAGATGGTGGAGAGGATCAGGAGAGGTGATGTTTTGGCTGTACTCCTAAAATGTGAAACCACACCTGCCAGGTGTGAAGTTACCTTGCAGAAGGCAGGGGGCACACAGAGGTTAAAGGGGTCATGATTTCTGTTCACTGTTAGTCAAAACACTAGGCAAGAGTCACATCCCAAAATCGCTTTTGAACTAAAACGCACCCAGCTTCCATTTCTAAGGTACTTGTCTACAAATACAAATGATCAGCCTTGGCTTTAACCCACTGTCCAGGAAGGGAAACCAACACACCAGGTAATGTCATTAGAAAACATTTAGAGCCAACTCAAGAGTCAAGAAAGAAAGCCTCTCCTATGTCAAACAGTCTGCCTTCTTCCATGAAATATATTCCCCAGTGTTTGGCTCACATTTCTGTTATTTTATGTATATATGTATTTTTTTTTTAAAGAAAACCACTGGAAACACCAAAGCATTAAATTGGTTCCAAATGATCTGGGGCTTCTAGGAACTGGCTTCGCAGTTTGTGTCCCTATTTGGTTACAATCGAGCAGCTTCCCGTCACAGCTGTCTCCCTGTCAGTCTTACCAAGCATTTAAAGCACAAAGCCAGACTGGATTGTTCTAGCAATAGTCCATTTGTGCAGATGTGGTTGGGGTCATCTACTTGGCACACTATGATGATCTCAGCAATGGAGTTTTGTGGTTTTTTTTTTTTATGTCTTTCCCCAAGCACATTCCTAGACAAAGCAGTCCAGTGGATCAAATTATGAACAAAAAGGGAGTTCAGAGTTTGAATAAAGGAGAGAAATAAAGAGACTTTAAAACATCATGTTACAATGCCTTTCTAACTGCAACCTTTCCCTCTTTCTGTTCACTGGCTCAGATTGCTGTCACATTGGCTTTCCTGGATCCCCAAACATGCAAACATCTGGATTCCATTCTGTGGAATAACAGGGAATGGAATAAATAGGCTGACACTACATAAAACCCATTCTAGGGGGAGCGGGGCTCTGACCTAAATGTGGTTCAGGAATGTGTGTGCCTACAAGAACACTTGGAAGGAATGATTAGCCTTTGATGAAGCCTTTTTTTTTCCCAGTCAAACATTTGCTAAAGAAATGTAACTTCTGCTAAGATGTTAAACTTTGTGCATATAAGAAATGTCCTACCACATTTTCTTATCTGAGTATTCAGAAAAAATATAATTTAAATTATATCCATTATGCTTTACATTCACACAGATGAGTAATATGTGTACATGCAGCCTCCCAATTATGAAGGGAGGTCTAGAGGGACTTAGTTGATTCTGTTTAGGAAATTCAATTCCTTGGCTCCATTTTTGGTTCTCTGACACTACAGATATAATTAAAGAGTTAATGGGAGCAAGTGAGCAAGTGGTAGTGCTTATCTTCAGATTTAGGACGCATTTGTTCACAAGTATATGTAAGAGCCAAACATGTCAGACAAAAAGCAGATTCAACTGAGACAGGATAAACCCTAAGGAGTCATTAAAAAGAATTGTCTTACCTCCCAAATGAGCTTGATCCCATCTTGAGCCAACTATACTCTCAGGAAGTCAGAACTCTCCCACGTATCCCATCCCTGCCTGACGTCACCTGTAAAGTCTGGAGCCCTTCTTGTGTCTCCCTTCAGAAGACGGTTTGCCACTCATCAGCAAAAAGCTCAGGAGCTGTCACCCCTCCTGGACCTGCCCCTGCCACGTTATCTGCAGAAAGCCCCCGCCCACAGCTCACTAGGGCCTGGCCCATTCTGCCCAGGGTAGGGCGTCTGCACCATGGGCTGAGTCTCACCCCGCCCAGCCCTGCATGATGGCCCTTGTATTTGTCAGAAGAGCCACCCCCCACCTATCCCTCTAACCCTCTTCTCCTAATCCGCCTCAACATCTTGTTTCAGGAGAATCCAATAGAAACAGCCTGTTTGTTCTCGGTTTCCACCTAGGTAAAATGTCTCATCACACTTCTAAATAAAAACTTAGAGACTTCTGATACAAATCAAACTTCCCAAAATATGCACCAAAATGAATTAATGAAAAACTGCATTTCCACTTCTATACATTTCCTTTTAATAGCTCTGAACACAGCCAAACTCTCCATAAGACTTCCCTCTCCCCTTTTCGTAAGACATCTCAGGATTTAGCATTTAAAAGTACACAGGTTCTAATGTCCACAAGACCCAAGGGCAGGGATCACCTCTCCACTGTGTGTGTTCACGTGTGGGCACAGTTCACTGGAAGTTGATGAGCAATACTTTGATTCTCTAATGGTCTTCTCCTTTGTTTTACTGTAGACTTTGCCACTTTCTGGAACTAATAGAGCAAAGGAAAAGGATTCACACTGCACAGCGATTTTTATATGGGAACATTGACATTACCATAAATGGAACTGGGTTTTAGAATTGCTGAGTGAGTATTCTAGTGGTTATGGTCATTGTTACAAATTCTTACCAAAACTTTCATTAAAAAGAGAGCTGAAGAATGTAAACTTGAAGCAAGATGGAATGGAAATAGGGTCTCATGTAACATTGGTCTTGTGAATTCCATGACTGACGATAACATAAAATACTGAAGTGCTTAGATACCCAAAACAGTTATGGGACATCTGAAGTTTTCCAAACCAAAGGGAAGGAGCAGTTTCTGATGGTGAAATAATGTATTGTTTTATTGTTGTTTTTTTACTGCTGTTGTTTTAACTCACAAGGACGTACAACTCTGGATTATGGAACACACAACTGAGTACGGAACACATACTCAATCCTAGCTACAGAGAAAGACTGGATGGGGTCAAGTGATAGGATCAAACAACAATGACAAGGAACTAGACATCTGAGACTTGTGTGCACTGGGCCTATCCAGCTCAGGTATCTAAGTAGGAAGAAAATAAACATCCAGTACCTTGACTTTGGCTGTGCATCCTGAAAGTCGAAAAATTCCTTCAGATTCCAGACCCGATTCCTCAACTTTCTCAAAAAACTAGAGAGCAATGACATATTACAAAATAAGTACCTCCATGGAAAGACAAACATCTGAAACAATGATGATGATAGTCAACAAATTACCCAGCATGTGTTCGTGCCTGGTTCTTGCACACCTTGGTAAATGCTCACAAGCACCCCATGAGGTCAGCATGATCTTCTGTTTGCAAATGGAGATTTAGAGTGGCTATCTGACTGTCTCAGGATCACCCCTGGAAGTAAGTAATGGCCTCAACTCTCACACTTGAACTCATAATTACTGTAAAGGGCTGCCACATGACCATTTTAATATCTGATCACTGTGTCTCTCTGTGCAGACTGATCAGTAAGACAATATTCTAGTAGCAGCCACCCTGGGTAAGAAACTGCAGGAATCCTAGAAGACTGGCCAAGAAGTCAGAAATTGTAAGAGGATGATCACTTTCTTGAGTCCTCATTGTGGTGATGGTGGGGATGATGGGTGTTAATAACAACAATAACAGCAAACATTGCAAACTACTGGGTGTCTCTTGTGTATCAGACCCTATTCTCAGTACTTTCCATGCATTAACTCATTGAATCCTGACGACAGTGCTAAAAGGTGGATATTATTACTACCCCCATTCTACTGCCAAGGAGACTGAAGCACAGGATGAATGAGTTACTTGCTTAAGTTCTCACTCACAGTGGGAGGTAGATACAGTGTCATTGGCAGTTTCTCTCCAAAAACTGATGTATGTTGGAACTCAGGTAGTTCTTGTATGGAGGAGAGAAATAGTATTTAAGATGAAGAAACATATCTGTAAGAAAAGGCTCTCCCACAAGAGTGGAGGAGTACCCGTCTTACATGAGGAACACGGCCTCAGCCAACATCTGTGGAGCTGTCGATGCGACTTAGCTCCAGAGCTACCGTTTTCTCAACATGTCTTGTTTGCTTCCACTTGCTAACTTTTGTGCTCGGTTATTCCACCTCCATGACAATTATGCACTCACATCCTGAACCTTCTGTCTTTGATCTTTATGAATTTTCTTCAAATCCTATCTTGTGTATACAGGGCGAAGGGCCTAATTCTGGTTTTAATTCAAAGAAGGAAAGAAAATATTTAAGTCACGATGGACCTGGGACTTGGATAGGTGCTGTGTTCCTTTCCTCACTCCACCTCGTGTTGGCTCTGTGTTCGTGGCCAAGTGACCTCACCATGCTGTGCCACAGCTTGCTCATCTGTGAAAGGTAGACGGTAACCCCGACCTCCTTAGGCCGCTCTGTGCTGGTGAGATGCGACGTTACCAGAGTAGCACTGGCCAGCCCCGCCCCAGGGAGGCAGCTTCCAGGTAGCCCCTGTGTACAGAGGTAATGCTGGCTTCCTGTGGCTACCCGGCTGCCATCCTTTTGCTCCTGTCATCAGCCAATCACCCTCACCTTAATTTGAGGCACAGGTGTTAAAATACAGGATGACAGAGAGGGGTGTAGGATTGTTAGTGTGAGTAAAGTAAAAGGGACTTCAGAAATCACGGAAAAATAGAAAAGATCACTTTTGTGCAAAAATATTTTGAAATTCATGCATGGTTTCTTCAGAATATGTATTTTACATGAATGTTTTAAAAACCCCTCATATGTTTTATCAATTAACATTCTTATAAATAATTTAAAAGCTCATTTTAAAAATTCAACAGGATTTGTGTTAAGGGCTTAGAATTCTAACTGTGCCACTGGGGGTCACTGTTGAATAAATGCATACTTAGGTAAAACAGTATAAACTGTTAGCTATAAAAATTTACTTAAATGTAAATCAGCTATTTGGCAATGACAGATATTTGCATATGGCATTTCAGACAATATAACTTTCAAAACTCTCTTCTAACAAAACTCTTATCTTTGTCTAAATGTATCCTATCTGCCTGGTCACACCTGAAAAACCACCAGAACAAGCTGATTTTTAGACTTTGTTAGCCCTGGAAAATCCATAAAATGATTTTATGTGCCCATGTGAACAACTCCAACCTGTGATATATTCCAGCAATACTTGCATGATTTGTAGATGTATTGCTAATTATCTTTACCCAGACCAAATAACCAAATATGAGGGGACTTCAACAAGTTCATGTTATATGAATATTATGAAAAGTGCATGCATGGAATTCCAAAATTTTTTGTGTCAAAATAAATCTCTTCATTCTATTTTCTCACACACTTTTAAAGAACCCTCATATGCACACAAATACATAAATATGTACAAATAACATTTAAAAAAAACTGGAAAAATATACCTAAGGGAAGCCATGAGACACGGCATCTGGGTCAGCCATTTGATGCTTTATGGTCAAACAATGCAACAGGCTCCAAAAGTACACAGCCAGGACAGTGGTCCAAGTACTGACCAGGCGATATGAGGATACACGGGATAAAGCTGAAAATCATGAACTGCCTGAGTCTCATTAGAGCTTTAGTGTCCTTCAATCCCGAAGAACATTCACTGATGGGTTTACAAAGCACAGATTCTTAAGCAGTAGGCTCTATTAGTTTCACTCTACTCACTTTTTGTAACACCAGGGGAACTTTCACTCCAGGGTCTTTCTTTCGGTCATTGTCCAGGAGGACTGTGAGTGGAACTCCAAAGATCCCGTTGTCTTCATTGTACAACAGCCAAAGGAAAAAGAAAGGAGAATTAGAAAACTCTTAGTCCAGGGTGTCAGGGTCAAGGCCAGAAGGAATGGGTCTGCTTAGTTACCTCGCCCTTTTACTTTCTCTGTTTTATTTCTCTTCAGTTGAATTCCAAAGGCATCAAAAAAGGCTGTCAACTCAATGAGAGAGAGATGGCGGATTTTCTTCATGTCTTCAGTAGACAAGTCTCCTGCCTCCGTCAAGCCAAGTCTGGTCTTCTGAACGATAAATTTCTAAAACACAGAGTGAAATATTTTTTTTTTTTGTGGCAAAGGAAAATGATTATACACCTTCATTCAAATGCTAGCTGGATAGGCTAAATCTATACAACAAAACATGTTATTTGCAAAACAATCTCTAAGGAGCAAGTTGCATCATAGAAAAACCAACTGTAGATCTCTACTGTGTTAAACTTGAGACAAAACAGTTGTCTGAAGTATATGGTAGTATTGACATCACAACCGTAAAAATTGCCAGTGTTGTCAGAGTAACATACATGTCAAGCATCACAAGGAATGCACACATGGTGGGCATCTGGATTGCATGTGATACACACATGTAAAACAACACATTCAGGTGCAATCTGAGATTGTATTACCTGTATCTTTGTTTGTTTAACACAGTCAGTCTTTAAACCAGGCTTCGTGTATTCTTTAATGCATACTTTGAAAGACCCACAGACATCTCCCCATTGAAGCTGATTACATATGTATGTTGAAGCAGCAGCTTTTCTACTTTGTAAAATAAACTTAGATATTCCAAATTCATAAAAAAGCAAAATACACAGAAAATACAAATGATCCTATTACATTTCGAAGGCAATTGCTATATTTTCCAAAGATATAAGTCTTCATTCCCATGCTAAGAAACAAACTACACTAATACAATAACAGCAAATCCTTCAGCAATCCAGAAATATTGTCAAGAATGTATGCACCAGGACGTCTTCTTTCTTTGAAAGGCAGAGACAGGAAAAGAAAATGCTCCATGTGTAGATTTACTCTACCAAAACTGACAATGACCAGGCTGAACCTGGGCCAAAGCCAGAAGCTGGGAGCCTGCAACTCAATCCAGATCTTCCACATAGATGGCAGGACCACGATTTACTTAAGCCATCACTGCAGCCTCCCGAGGTTCACATTAGCAGCAAGCTGGAAACAGGAACCAGAGTCGGGTATCAAACCCACGCACTCCAAGAACGCAATGTGGGTACCCTAACCACTAGGCTAAATGTCCACCCTGTCGCTCCTCCGCGGGCTTGCGGGAGAACGACACCGGACTGGACGCTGTTCTTTAAGCGAATGACTCTGCGTTGTGCGCTCAAGTTTGCTTCTGTGCTAACCGCATTCTAACCGCATTCCACTTGGTGTGTCCACATTCTTGTTATTCTCTCGGCGTGTGGTGTGAGATGTCTGCAGCGCCTTGCGGCGCATAAGCGAATCCCCCCGCGCCACTTCTATCTCGCCTTTATAGTCCTCTCCCACCAATCCGTGCTCCACTGCCCAGGTGCTGAGCACGCTGTTCAGAGGTTGGGTCAGCTCCTGCAACTCATTAGTCAAATTGATGAAGCAGCCGAAGCCGCTGTGTAGAACTTGTTTACTCCCTCTCAGCGCCATGTTGTGGGAGCCAGCTGGGCCCTGCTTCCCACATTCCCCAGCAAGACTTTTAAAAACAAAAGACCATTCTCATGCAATACCCACAGGTACACTTTGCTTACTAAAAACTTGGTATTGAAAAAATATGGCTGAAGTAGAAAAAAAATCCCATAGTTCCTTAAATTACAAAGTTTTAAGCACACATTCAGCACAGAAGTTCCCTAAACTGGAGCTTCCCTGGGATTTTTAAGCCATCCATGCATGCATGCATCCATCCAAGCAACCAACACTTGTCTTGAAATCCCAGGTTTAAAAGTAAAAGAACAGGCCGGCGCCGTGGCTCACTAGGCTAATCCTCCGCCTTGCGGCGCCGGCACACCGGGTTCTAGTCCCGGTCGGGGGCCGGATTCTCTCCCAGTTGCCCCTCTTCCAGGCCAGCTCTCTGCTGTGGCCAGGGAGTGCAGTGGAGGATGGCCCAAGTGCTTGGGCCCTGCACCCTATGGGAGACCAGGATAAGCACCTGGCTCCTTGCTTCGGATCAGCGCGGTGTGCTGGGCGGTGTGCTGGCCGCAGCGTGCCAGCTGCGGCGGCCATTGGAGGGTGAACCAACGGCAAAGGAAGACCTTTCTCTCTGTCTCTATCTTTCTCTCACTGTCCACTCTGCCTGTTAAAAAAAAAAAAAGTAAAAGAACATAATGTAGGTTGTGGTTTGGGCCATATCTTGTGCTATTAAAGATTTATTTTACCTTCTTTCTGAGGCCAATGTTCAAAATAACAGTAATACATAACAATAGAAGCGAGGACCCTGGACATTTATGAAGCAGTTACTGTGCGCTAAACTCCATGCTGGGTTCTCCCTGGGAGGCTGACCTGCACCCTGGCTGAGGCAAGCTTCAGTAGAGACTTGCTGAGGAATCCTGGGCGCCAGGGTCTTGTCTCGGATGACTGCCATAAAGATAACAGGGGCTTCCCTGAAACCAGAGGGCCTGTGGTTTCTTTACTTTGTCCTAGGATACCGCTCTGCTCTCCAACATGGAGACTACTTAGCACAAAGGAAAGATTTTTTGTTTGTTTGTTTGTTTGAAAGGCAGAATAATGGAGATAAGGGGGCACAAACACACACAGCTCTTTAATGCAGAACAATCAGAACTGGGCCTGGTGAAGCTAGGAGCCAGGGACTCCACCTGGGTTTCCCATGTGGGAGGCAGGAAACCAGGAACTTACTTGGGCCATCATCCCCTGCCTCCCAGGGTGTACATGAGCAGGAAGCTGGATCAAAGGTGAAGGCAGGACTCAATCCCAATCACTCTGATATGGGATGCGGGCATTCCCAAGCAGTGTTTATTTAACCTTCTGTGCCACAATGCCCCTCCTGAATTCTGGACTTTGACACACTTAGGTTTTAAATTCTAGTGGGGTTCTGAACACACTACTTAGCATCTTTGGGTCTCAGTTTCGGCATCTGTAAAATGGGAGTAGTCGCTAGGGTTCACCCTAGAGCTAGATAGAACTAATGCAATGTCAGGCCCACAGAGGGTCCGTCAGGAGCCTTCCTCTGGAACGTCTTGTCCGCCTGAGACAACGAATCTGTTCCTGGCTGATTTATTCCTTTAGCTCTGAAACCCCCGAGCCCTGCTCGCCATGCCTCCAGCTGGGATCAGCACAGGATCAGAACTCCTCAGCAAGAACTCTCCACAGATGCATGTATCAACTAGCAATGGTGTAACAGTTCTGTAGTAGCCTCGCAGCACATAATCTTCTGGAGACACACACACACACACACACGTGTGTGTGTGTGTGTGTGTAATGAGGCTCTCAGGATAACAAGTATATGGCGGCTCTGTTTGCCTATTCTAAGTTGATGTCAGTTCTTGAATTGGTTTTGATGAGTTTTTAGCGCCTCACTTGTGTTTGTGACTGTGATAGTCTCTGTTTTGCCTTCTGCGCCGTGGCTCACAGAGCACAAGCACAGAGAGTTAGGATGTGCATTGACTTACAAGTGAAGTCAGACGCAATACGCTTTCTTGCAGTTTATACCAGTGAGATAGAAATCCTACTTCCTCTGTAAAACAGTATTCAAGTTTCTACCCTCAGGGCTGCCAGGTATAGCCAGGCAGGCCGTGCACTGTCCAATACATGTTCCAAATAACACCTGAAATGGTGGCGTCCACACTGATGTCTGATCTCCCCAAAGCCCTGGTGCACACACAGAGATATTTTTAAAAATCCTAGTTTTGTCCTGTGGAGAAGTCATGGGAAGTTATCAGAATAATCATGAAAGGTTTTACTTACAGTTAAAGCATAGTCTTCTTTCTTAATCTCCAATTTCTTAAATTTACTTCTTTTTGGAGCCTCTGTAACCATTTCTGAATAAGATATTTCAAAGGACAGCTCTTCAGTCTCTGGAGGAATGTTCTTTCCCAGATAACCACCATCTAAAAAACAGTACGTAGTGCGGTCAGCCCCTGCCATCTAGGGTGAATGACGTGCCAAACATTGATAACTTAACCCACAGACATGTTACAATGTTTACATCCAAAAAGCAGATTCACCCAGAGGGGTTCAGGGAAGCAGTATTTTGTTGTCATCAGACTTCTGTGGGAGCAAATTTACATCTTCATTATTCAAAGAAACTTTACTTAACCTGACTTTTCAACTTTTATATTTTTATATTTCATGAGAGTTGTGGAGAACTATTTAAGCAAAGTCCAAGACAGGGTATTTCTATATATTCTTACAACATTAAAATTGAGCCCAGCTAGACTCAATGTCATTGTTATTGGGAAACCAGAAGTTTAAAACAGAGGGAGAAGGGGTAGAGAAGGTCCCACTAGAATGTCTCTTGTTCCTCTTAAGATTTGTTCAAACTCAATTTGGACTTCACTGTTGGATCTGTTCAGACAAATTAATCTGAATTTCTGGAATTAGATATTTTTAGCTATCCTTATATAAGAAACACTAAGAATAGGTAAATGAGCTACAATTAATGCTTCCTATAAATACTTTTCTTGAGCTAATTTGCAAATTAAGACAAAAGATTCTTAAAGCAAAACCAAATGAGCCCATGAATCACTTGAGCAATCCCAACTCTGACTTGTGAGTGAGACATTGGCTTGTTTTCTCGGTTCATTGCCTGGAAAGGCTGTCCCTGTGCAAAGTGAAGACTTTCCGGACTAGCAAAGCAACTCATTATCTTCTTCCCTCTTCTACAGGCACTGACCACATACAGGACAACAGTCAGAGTCCAAGGAACAAAAGACAGAATTAATAGCCAAATAAATGTTACATTAAAAGTTAGGTGGAGAAATTTATAAGCCACCAGACTTAAAAATCCTGATTAGTAAAACTAACTGAAAACATAACAAATGGATGCAGCTAAAATTTAGGAAACAGCAAAAAGAGTTACACTTTTCACTTGCACAGAGGGCTTGCACTCAAAACAGAGCAAGAGCAACCACAAAATAGTAGTCTAAGTTCTTGAGGATCTATGGATAGACTGGAGAGCAGAGGTTAAACAAGCCAAGGCTCCAGGCCACAGGAGCCCTCCCTCCATGCAGATGTCCATCTTGAGTGGCATGACCTGAAATTACACCATGGCAGTAAAACAGAATGCTGTGGACTTACTTCTGGCAAATCTCTTGTCTTTGATATTTTTTCTTGTATCAGCTTTACTGAGATACAATGTACATGCCATAGAATTCGGCCATTTGAAGTATACCAGTCAATAGTTTTTATATATTCACAGAGCCACACAATGATCACCCAGATCAGTTTCAGAACCCTGAGTTCTTCAAATTGTTTTTATCTGTTTTATCTCGGACAGGCAGAGTTAGACAGTGAGAGAGAGAGAGAGAGAGAGACAGAGAGAAAGGTCTTCTTTCCGTTGGTTCACCTCCCAAATGGCTGCTACGGCTGGCGCACTGTGCCGATCCGAAGCCAGGAGCCAGGTGCTTCCTCTTGGTCTCCCATGCAGGTGCAGGCCTCAAGCACTTGGGCCATCCTCCACTACCTTCCCGGGCCACAGCAGAGAGCTGGACTGGAAGAGGAGCAGCCGGGACAGAATCCAGCGCCCCAACTGGGACTAGAACCAGGGGTACCGGCGCCACAGGCAGAGGATTAGCCTAGTGAGCCACAGCGCCGGCCGAGTTCTTTAATATTTTGAAGCTAACACTGAAAGTACCGATCCTGTTGTTCACAAGAAACAAGCACAAACTTTTGGGAAAACTTTGAGGAATCGCAAAAATGTGGCCTGAAGGAGCCTATTTTGTACCAAAGATTTGAACTTCCACACTGAGTCCATGTAGGGAGCCCACGTCTCAAGCCACAGAGGCACAGGTGAAAGCTAACCTTGTGGTTGTCTACCACAAGCTGCTCTGGTGTTGCATACACCTGAGCAACAACTGGGGCGTGGTGTGCTTCCTGGCCTGCTGGTGACTGGAGAGCAGACCCAGGCACTCCAGAAAGACGCCTCTACTCAAAGACACTACCCAGCCTGTAGTTTCTATATGATGCAAGGATTGTGAAGGCAGAAAAGATTCTGCTTCCAATCTGGCTCCATGAGTTAGTTCTGCGTGCTGTGCTAGAATGGGGTGATTGGAGGCAGGTGGGAGGAGCGAGTGTGCAAGTGATGGAATCAGAATGGGGAGGAAGCATGGTCGCATCCTGCTTGTAGACATTCACCGCTAATGGTACTGAGTGCATGGAGGCCAGGGGACACAGCTTCGGTGCAGGAGGAGGCTACGTCACTCACCACTCACTGCGGTCTGCAGCGACTGTCCCGGGCCTGCAGATCCATTGGAATGAACTGGTATGTCAGGGATCGCCTCAAGTATAGACTGCCAAGCAAGGGGAAGAGAGCACAAAACATTTTACCACGAATCACATTCATGGAACCCCATATTTTCATCTGATTTATGCTGTGCAGAACAAGAGTGCTTTTCACAGGAAGCATTTCTTGATTTTGAAAAGGACCTGCATCGGATTTCCTTTGTTTCTGCATTCAGTGGAGACACGTACAGCTCCCACAGGTTTCTCAAAAGGGAATTCGTCCAAGTCTGGATCACTCCTCCTTCTTAGCTCTTACATACTGACTGCTTGTTACTTTGCCAAAGCATACAAAATGTAAAGTTTGATGTCAAATCCTTTGGTAATTATAATTTATTAATCAAGATGCATTTTAACTATATTATTTTAACATAAAATTAATGTATTAATAGTCCCAATTCAAAATACAGAGCAAATATAGCAAATATAAGCAAACAATTATCTTTTCCTTTGAGTCATCCCTCCCCCCCTCCTTTTTTTTTAAAGATTTACTTATTTATTTGAAAGAGAAGGAGACACAGAACATCTTTCATTCACTCATTCACTCCCCAGATGCTGGCAACAGTCGGGGCTGGGCCAGAATGAAGCCAGGAACTTCATCTGGGTCTCCCACGTGGTGGTGCTAACAACTCTATTCCTCGGCCATCATCTGCCACCTCCCAGGCATAGCAAGAGGCTGTAGGGGAAGTCATGGCGCCAAGACTTGAACCGGGCACTCTGTTATGGAATGTGGGCATCTCATGTGGCAACTTAAGGAGCTGTGCCACAAAATGTTGCCCAGTTTCCCCTCTTCACTAACCGGGTACTTTCCTGCCATAGCCCTCAGCTCCACTGCGATAGTATCAGAAGTTGAGAATCTATCTTCGCAGAGTCCTGCCCAGCACGCTACTTACTGCTCAGGTCTGGTTGAGTACTAATAAAAAAGTTATACACAAGTCCTACCAAAAATTTACCTGCACATCCCACACATTTTAATGTGGGAGTTATTATCTGACTGTGTGAGAGGCTGTGAATATCGCTGTTCCATCAAGAATCTTGTATATGCTATTCACACGTAAAATCTGCTCTTCATCCCCCAGGGCCTGATGTTGTTCCTTTTATCATATGTTTATTTAGCAATAACGGAACACCTGCTTCATAAAAGATCTTTTAACATGAGCTACAAATTGCACAAGGGAGTCTTGAATGCTGAGCCTGTGTTCCTCTTTATTCCTATTTTATTTCAAAGGAGATGATACACTTGTAATTGTGTATAGAGAACTAGTTATTAACACATAGATGTCCAAATAACGGAGGTGGTGAAGGAACGAAAACACCAAAGTCTAGGGCCTTCTACTCCACTGACCACCAGACTTTTGGTGCTGCTCAAAACCACACCACAGAACGAAGATTTCTCATACAAAAAATCGCTAAAAAAAAGGAAGTGGACAACTTTTCAGGGATTTTCTTCAGCTTACCAAAAAAGAAATGCTTTGTCAGACTTTGAAATAGCTCACCTCTTCGGGAGAGGACTTTTCTGAAGAGTGAGAGACTGTTGGCTCCTATTCATTTGGGGCTTGAAGTTGGAGGTGTGGGATGCTGAACCAACCCTAGTGAATGTCAGTTTCTCAATGTGCGGAGTGGAAGCGCCCACCGCTGAGCTGGTGTGCCTGGCCTCTAGCCCGCTGGCTGTACTCTACTCAGTACAGGGCTCCTGGTCATGTAAATCACCCTGGGACTTTCTTGAGGAAGCAGAAGTTGGAGTCCTAATTCCTGCTTTTGAGCTCCTTATATTGAGGATAGCAGAACAGTATTTGTGGAACATTACTAAAAGACAAATCACTGTTGAGAGCTAATACCCATGATGCAAGCTGACTAATTGCAAAGCACCAAAAAAGGAAGAAGCACCGCCCAGAAGGTTTTCCATACAGAGGTGGCTGAGCTTGCCCTACAACTCAAGGAAGCATGATGGAAGACACTTTCAAAAGGCAGAGGAGACAGGCAAAGCATTCAGGTCAGAAACGCAAACAGACATTGCAAGTACAGAGATATCTGGAGCATTTCAGTACAAGAGACTGGCATGTCAGGAATTGACTCACGATATTAGAAAAATACAGGAAACCAATTACTCAAGAGAGTAAGTTCAACTTATGGAAGCTGGAGAAGGCCAGGCAGAGACACTGAGACTTGGAACTGTAAGGGTTAGAAACAGAACAGAGCAAAACAAAAGACCCCTCTTGGGTTAAAGCAGGACCAAGTTCTGGGCTCCTGGCTTTGGCCTGGCCCAGCCCCAAGGGAGTGAGCTGGGGAATGGGCCATCAAATGGAAGATTTCTCTATCTCCCTTTCAAATAAATAAAATACATCTTTAAAAATAAACTTTATTAATGAAAAAAACTATTGATAGAATAAACTATTTACAGTTCTGATTTAGCACAAAAGATACAAATTTGAGGAATAAAATTTGCAATATTGAGGCTGGCATTGTGGCAAGTGGGTTAGCCACTGTCTGCGATGTCATCATCCCAGTTGAGTATCAGTACAAATGCAGGCTGCTCCACTTCTGATCCAGCTCCCTGCTAATGTGCCTGGGAAAGCAGTGGATGATGGCCCAAGTGCTTGGGCCCCTGCCACTTACCTGGGAGTCCTGGATGGAATTCCAGGCTCTTGGCTTTGGTTGGGCCCAGACCTAGCTGTTGCAGCCATTTGGGGAGTGAACCAGCAGATGAAAGAGCTGTCTCTCCCTCTCATTCTGCCTTTCAAATTAATAAATAAACTTTTTTTAAAAAATGAAAAAATGCAATATGTGGCTACTTCAAAAAGTTCATGGAAATATGGAATTAAAAGACAAGTTTATTTTGGTGCAAAAAGTTTTGGAATTGCTGTATAGTTTTTTATCATACATATTACATCATACACATTTTCCATGAAATTGTTGAAGACCCTTTATATTTGCCTCCACAGACAATTTAGAAGCTACACATGTAAATAAATGTATATGTATATATGTACATATACATATAAATTTATAAAAATCAGTTTTGAAATGCTCAATGAATTACATGGCTTCATAGAACACGCAGACATTACCAGCATTAATATGTATCCAATGAAAAAATAACCAATGTTTCATGCCTACAATGATATTAGACCTAGGAGACCTTACAAATTATATCATAAATGCACTTACACTAAATTGTAGATATGCATAGATATATATCATATATATTTACATTATAGTTTATTAAGTGACGCAAAAATCTTGTAAAGTATTCAAAGTTCTCACCATATTTACATAAAGGTTAACTTAACACTGCTAAAAACTCTAAATGAGTATGTATATAGAATAATCCCTTGCTAGAATAGACATTAAAATTCTAAAACAGTAAACAAAATCCTGCAGCATAATAAAAAAAAAGGATGATACAACAGGCAGGGTTCATCTAAGCAATTATAATGTGATATTAGAAAAATCTATCAGTGTAATTTCCTAAAGTGATTGATTAAAGAAAGAAAATAATATATTCATTTAATAGATACTGGACAATCATTTGATATACTTCAACCTCTATTCCTGATTAAAGCAATTACAAGGCTCAACAACCTAGAACAAATATTCTACTTAATGACGAAATATTAGAATTATTGACAAAAATCAAGAACTTATCAAAGGTTCCCCCAAATTATAAATCAATGTTACAAGTTATTATGATTAGTCAATTAATACAAGAGAAATAATTAAGATGAATAGTTATAGTAAAGATAGAGTAAATAAAACTAGAGTATATGCAAGTGCTATCTACCAAAATCACAAAATAAAATGAAAAAATTCTTAGTTTTAAAGTTGTATAAAGGGGCCAGAAACACCCTGAAAGAAACACATTGTTCCAGCTGGTGCCGCGCCTCACTAGGCTAATCCTCCGCCTGCGGCACCGGCACTCTGGGTTCTAGTCCTGATTGGGCGCCGGATTCTGTCCCAGTTGCTCCTCTTCCAGTCCAGCTCTCTGCTGTGGCCCAGGAAGGCAGTGGAGGATGACCCAAGTGCTTGGGTCCTGCACCCGCATGGGAGACCAGGAGGAAGCACCTGGCTCCTGGCTTCGGATTGGCGCAGTGTGCCGGCCGTAGCGGCCATTTGGGGGGTGAACCAACGGAAGGAAGACGTTTCTCTCTGTCTCTCTCTCTCTCTCTCTCTCTCTCTCTCACTGTCTAACTCTGCCTGTCAAAAAAAAAAAAAAAGTCACATCAAGGAAGCTACATAGGACAGTGTTGTGAGAAACAAAAATAACTACTTTCCTTGCATCTCTGCAAAATAAGCTAGAAAATACCATAGAAAACCCTCCTACTTAAAATACCAATGCAAACTGTTATGTTCCCAGCAATTAACTTATGAAGAAATGTGTAACACTTAAAGAAATAAAGTTATAAAATTTTATTGAAAGATAGAGGACACAAATAAATATTATGGCAGAGTCATTGTTACTCAATGGGAAGACTTAATGTTTTAATATATGAATTCTATCCTTGACATTAATATCTAAATTAAATTCTTAATAAGGCCCTAATAAGATTTTTAAGGGTGACTTAGTCTTTTTTCTAAGTTAATCTGAAAAAAAAAACTTCCAAGTATAGAAAAAAAATTTTGATGAAAGTGAACCTAATCTTTCTTTCTTTCTTTATTTACATGCATTTCATAAATACAACTTAGGAACACAGTAATTCTTCCCACTGTACCCACCCTCCCACCCGCTCTCCCATCCTTCTTCCTCCTCTCTCTCCTATTCCCAGTTTTATTTTTTTTTACTAATATCTATTTTCAATTAACTTTATACACAGTAGATTAACTCTATTCTAGGTAAAGAGTTCAACAATTTGTATGAGAAAGAAAAGGAAAAAAATCAAAACAAACAACAACCAAAAAAAACACGTTCCTCAACAGTCCAAACAAGGGCTGTTCAAATTCATTGCATCTCGAAGTTAATTTTGCTTCTTTTTTAACATTCTTTTTTTTTCCAGAAACTTAATTATCTTTTAAGAAGAACTCAAGAATGATGCATCTTTTGCAAGCACTTAGACGTAACTATAACTTATGAGACATGAGAATATCCTGCACTTAATACACTAAAAGGAAATGATTTTTTGAGAACAGGTTTTACTATTAACTCTCATAATACAACTCTTTGAGGACAGGGGTCCTGCATGAGAAGCTAGTGCACAGTGACTCCTGTTGTTAACAATTAATACTTTTATGTATGTCGTCAGTGATCACCCAAGGCTCTTGACATGAGCTGCCTGGGCTATGGAAGCCTTTTGAATCCACAAAATCCTTCAGTATTTAGACAAGACCAAAAGCAAGGTGTAACTCTCCTCCCTTCAGAGAAAAGTACATCCTTCTTTTATAGCCACTTCTTTCTACTAGGGTCTCACCCACAGAGGTCCTTTCTGTAGGACACTTTTTGCCATAGGGTTTCAGCTTTCCATGCCTGAAATGCTCTCATGGGCTTTTCAGCCACGTTAACAAATCCCTCCTCACTGATACATGTGAAGAATGTTCTTGGACTTTTAGCCACAGCAGTAGGAATTCACGAAGTCTTCCTTCCAACTGCAATCTTTTCATTTCCAAGGGTTGAGTTTGCTTCTTCCTCATTTTTATGAAGTTGATCAACCTCCTGGCAGCTGTGGTTTCTTTGCAGCCTTAGTTCAAGGATTTTTTAAAAATCTGCTTCCTACATTAGTTGCAGCTTTTGCCTTGAAATGAAATCACATTGATAGGTGAGGACTTACCCTGGAGCTGTTCCTGGGAACTGCAAAACTCCCTTCTTCATCCTGGGCTCCATCGGACAGGGTGGTACTGTTGAGAGAAGCATCATCTGGCTAAATGGAAAAATAAAAGTACCATTCTTATTCAGGAAGAGACTTTCTAACGTACTGCCTATTCCACTATGTGTGCACACTGAGATGCCTGTGGCCTTATGTACAACATTGCCACTGCCTGTGCATAGACGATAGTATCCAGCCTCATGCAGCTCTGTTGTGAGCCACTGAGATGCCGGCCATCACAGACACTGCCCTCTATGTCAGACATTGCTCTGTACTGTCACAAACTCCATTAGTCTTTTTTTTTTTTTTTTGACAGGCAGAGTGGACAGTGAGAGAGGAGAGAGAGAGACAGAGAGAAAGGTCTTCCTTTGCCGTTGGTTCACCCTCCAATGGCCGCCGCGGCTGGCGTGCTGCGGCCGGCGCACCGCGCTGATCCGATGGCAGGAGCCAGGAGCCAGGTGCTTTTCCTGGTCTCCCATGGGGTACAGGGCCCCAGCACCTGGGCCATCCTCCACTGCACTCCCTGGCCACAGCAGAGAGCTGGCCTGGAAGAGGGGCAACCGGGACAGAATCCGGCGCCCCAACTGGGACTAGAACCCGGTGTGCCGGCGCTGCTAGGCGGAGGATTAGCCTAGTGAGCCGCGGTGCCAGCCCATCCATTAGTCTTAATAACACCTTGGATTAATACTAGGAAGCTTGTTTTTAAATTAAAAAAAAAAAAAACACCCTGATTTCCAGTTTGTTTGCAGCAAGGAAAGCTAAGAGTGATGAGTGTGGTCAACAAGGTGTAAGAGAGATCTTACCAAGAATGCTTCCAGGAAAACCCCAGCTTCTCAGTAAAAACAGTAAGGTCAGCTGACTCACATCAGGACAGGGCCATGGATGGATGACAGCCTGGAGTTGCTGCACCTTGCACAAATAAGGATGGTGGGTGCTGCGAAGGATGGCAGAGACAGAAGGTTTGGGTCCCTGCCAACATGCAGCTGCCACATCAGATCGGGACCAGTTCAACTGAGCATCTCCAGGGGAAGCAACACAGCTCCTACTTTTTTTTTTTTTTTTTTAAGCAAAAGAGATTTATGTATTTATTTGAAAGCCAGCTAGAGAAAGAGAAAGGGAGATAGAGAAATCTTTCATCTGTTACTTCACTCCCCAAATGGCCAGAACAGAGCCAGTACTGGGCCAGGCTGAAGTCAGGAGCCAGGAACTCCATTTGGGCTTCCCACTCGGGTGGCACGGGGCTAAGTACTTGGGCCATCTTCTGCTGCTTTCCCGGGTGCATTAGCAGGGAACTGGATTGGAAGCAGAGCAGCCAGAATGCAAACTTGTACTCATACAGTCCCTACTGCCCTAATAGTTCCTAGTTTTTAATTACATGCAGCCACAAGCAATTTTAACTCATCTAATCTTAACATTTCTAGCAGATTCTACAATTGCCTTTCATAATGAATAGAATTCAGTAGCAAAATTTATTTATAAATCTAGAATTAAGATTTTGTTGTTGTTGTAGCATACAATGATACTACTGAAATTAGTTTTCTTTAGCAAAGGAAATGTATTACAAAATTGAATATATCTGATTCTCAGAGAAATATGCAGTAGTTTATCTTCTTAAAACACTACCATTCTTCATTTGATTTGACTGTATCTTCTCAATTTTCTATAGACAGATGTAGTGATTTATAGAATGAATAAGGAGGTGGTAAACCTTTGTTACAGCAGTTAGGATGTGGCTCAGGATGCTCACGTTCCCTATCACAGTGCTTGAGTTTGAGTCCTGGTTCTGCATCCTTTCCAGTTTCCTGCTGGTGCCACCGTGCAGTGCAGCAGGTGATGGCTCAAGTGCTTGGGTCCTGTTACCCATGTGCTAGACCTGGATGGAGTTCTGGGATCCTGGCTTCAGCTAGGCCCATCCCTGGCTGTTGCAGACATTTGGGGAGTGAATCAGCAAGCAGAAGGTCTTTCTCTCTATCCCTTTGAAATTAATAAGAATTAAAAATTTTAATGAATAAAGCTTTTTTTTAAAAAAAAATCAAATGTAATACAGGAACTAGAAAAAGAATTTAAGTGAAGATGATTAACTGTCAATTATTTTCCACCTCTCCTACCCCAAATCACTACAACTGGAAGAAAAAAATACATATTATACATATTTTCAAAGGAACAAATTTTTAAAATGATTTACTTACTTATTTGAAAGGCAGAGTGACAGAGACAGACTCAGAGAAATAGAGATATTCCATCCACTGGTTTACTCCCTAAATACCTACAACAGCGGGGGCTGGGTAAGAGGGAAGCCAGAAGCCAGAAACTCTATCTAGGTTTCCCACAAGGGTGGCAAGAACCCAAGTTCCTGGGCTATCATCTGCTGCCTCCCAGGCACATTAGCAGGAAGCTGGATAAGAAGGAAAGTAGCTGGGAATCAAAGTCAGCATTCTGATGTGGGTTGTGGGTACCCAAGGTGCACCTTAACCTGCTGCACCACAGCACCCATGCCTAAACAAACATTTTTAACAGCACTAGAAACCAGCAAAGAATTCCATAGCATGCCAATGGAGACATCTATAGATGTAAAGCAAATCAGATGTGTTTGGTGGGATAAAAATTTCTACTGAAAAGCAGTATAAACAATTTCTAGAGAGGGGAAGTATGGGGAGCAACTCGGACTAGACTAAGTTACTGGAATTAAGACTTATTCTATGCATCTGCTCTCCCACAATATGGCGCTGGGAGAGGAGTAAAAACAACTTTTACACAGCTGCCTCCAGTTCAACCAGTAACCTGCAGGAGCTGATCCCGCTCCTGATTGGAGGAGAGCAGCGTACTCGGCGTGTGGGTAGCAGAGTTGGGATTGGTGGAAGAGGACTATAAAGGAGGAGAGAGACAACATGCACCAGGAACATCTAAGGGGAACATCCGAATAACACCTGAGCAGCCCCCGAGAGAGCCGGCCGGCGGTGTGCCGCTCCCCCACGGAAGTGGGGAAAGTGGCAGGGGGAACCGCCCTTCCACGGAGGTGGAAGGGACGGTAGCCAACCCGGGAAGAACCAGCAGCAAACCCGGGGAGGGCCGAGCAGACAAAAGAACAGCGCAGGGCCCTGTGTCGTTCCTCCGTGAAGAGGGGGAGCGACAGGGAAGCAGAAAACAAATAGTATAGAATGAACAAGAAGGAAGGAGCCACAAATAGTTAAGCAGTGTTTACAGAGATGGAAGTCAGGTGGGCCTCTCCCCACTTAAATAGTGCTATACAGCCCCTTATATACTTATAGGCAAAGTCCCAAGAAATGCAATATAAATAAAGTCAACTAAGTGGCTAGGGGCTGGGCAGGTTCCTAACGTGAGTACAGGGGTTTAAGGGACAAGGAATTCCAAAGGAAGAACGAAACCAAAGTCAGCTTTGTCCGGAAGCAACAAACCAGAGTTTAGGGAGAGTGTATACTAACCAGTCCAGTACCTCTGTACACCTTAATGTTAAGCACAGCCCACTCACTTACAATATTGGCTTTTTTTTTTGCAATTTTTATTTTTTTACTGGCAGAGTGGACAGTGAGAGAGAGAGACAGAGAGAAAGGTCTTCCTTTGCCGTTGGTTCACCCTCCAATGGCCGCCGCGGCAAGCGCAACCAGGACAGAATCCGGTGCCCCGACCGGGACTAGAACCCAGTGTGCCGGCGCCGCAAGGTGGAGGATTAGCCTAGTGAGCTGCGGCGCCGGCAAATATTGGCTTTTTGGAAACACAGATCTATTCAAATCTATTCAACTGAAAGGAACTACACAACAGTTTCCTATAGGAATCAAGTGAAAAACTAATTAAGGCGCTGCCTTAGCTCACTAGGCTAACACCGGGTTCTAGTCCCATTCAGGGTGCCGGATTCTGTCCCAGTTGCCCCTCTTCCTGCCCAGCTCTTTGCTGTGGCCCGGGAGTGCAGTGGAGGATGGCCCAAGTGCTTGGGCCCTGCACCCGCATGGGAGACCGGGAGAAGCATCTGGCTCCTGGCTTTGGATCAGCGCGGTGCGCCGGCCGCAGCGGCCATTGGGGGGTGAACCAATGGAAAAGGAAGACCTTTCTCTCTGTCTCTCTCTCTCACTGTCCACTCTGCCTGTCAAAAAATAAAAATAAAAAAATAAAAAAGATTCAGCTGTGCAAAAACTTTAGGGGCCCAAAGAGCTGGAGTCCCCTGCAACTGTGCTGGTATTTTCTGCTTTGGGGAACATCTTTCACATTAGGTTTCATCAGGTGGAGTCCTTGAGTGTGTCCCATCACATTCCTCTGTTGTGATGGGGCTTTGATAGACATGGGGAGTAGCGCTGGAAGAGAGGCTAGGGAGCTGGACAGGAAGACCATGAGGTTTGGTGGTCTTGTTCGGAAGTAATCGCTCACATCTAATCATGGGCTTTAGTTAATAACATGTCGTTACTGATTCATTAATTTTTTAAACTTGCCTTTTAACTCCATTTCTACATGGACTATTATTTTTAAGTTTTTATTAATTTTTATTTTTATTTGAAAGAGAGAGAGAGAGACACAGACATAAAGAGATCCAGAGATCTTCCAACTGTTGATTCATTCCCCAAATGCCTGCAATAGCTAAGGCCAGGCCAGGCTGAAGCCAGGAGATTGGACCTCAGTCTGAGTCCCTCTGTAGGAGACAGGGACCAGGGACCAAGGTACTTGATGTTTCCCAGGGGGCACCTCCACAGCTGGAATTGGTAATGGAATCTGGGCCTGATAAAAAGAGACAAGATGAATAATATAATAATGACCAAGAAAAAATCTACTAATCTTGGGCACAAAGTTGAAGAAGTGTGGAGCAAAGGAGAAACAGATTAGTATGAGAAAAAAAAAACAGACAATAAAGTTCAATTTTAGCAAAGTAACATACATCTAATATGTGTTCTAGAAAGGTGGCACATAGAAAATGGGGAGAAGACATAATTTAAGATATAATAGAAGAAAATGTTCAGGAATTGAAGAGAATAAAAAAAGGTCTCAGAGGAACAGGACTGAGTGTTGACCAAAATGAATTAAATAAAGAGAAAATCCCTGTGAAAGTT